CTCTCTTGGCAGTTCGCATAAGAAAACACCAACTCCCGAGCATCCTCGTCATCTTCCCAGTCCGCTTGCTCCAGTAGGCGAATCAAACCCAGTCCATCTCACCTGCAATTTCGAACTCCCACTCAACTTCCTCTCCACTCGCACGATCAACCCTCAAACACTCCCATTCACGAACAGCCCCTCTCTCGCTAGTTCTCTCTGCAGTTCAGAATTTCCCCTCCCATTCAAAAAGCCCGAACTTACTTACTGTTACTCTCTCCCTCTCACGAGAAACCCCAGCCCCGTCGCCCCTTTGCAGTTGACGATCGCACTCTCTGCTCTTTGCTCAATCCCGAACTCCCTCATTGTGACTCCTCTGTTCGTTGCCTCCCTCACGATCCATTCACATACAGAGAACCACCCAGCCCTCATTCTCTCCAAGTCGCACGAGCCCTCAACCTTCCTGATCCTAGTTCGCATACCTTCATTCGCATACCTCCAGATGATTCGCTCTTCTGCAAGTCGCACGAATCCACTGTCCGTCGCCTCTCAGTTTTCGCACAACTTCAAGCTGATCCGTGAAGTCCAAGTTGAACCCTTCTCCTTCTCCGACCTGCTCCATCTCTCTTGTCGATTTCATCCTTAAGGAGCCTGCCGAGCCCTACTGCAACAGCAGCCACTGTCCGATTTGCTCTAGCCACCAATCATTTTTGTTATGGGTATATTTTCTACATTCGCATCTCCTTTCCCTCTATTTTAGCAATTTAGATAAAAAAAAAATGATTTGTTAAAGTTCAATGCTATCGTTTTAGAAAGAAAAGAAAATTTGCTAGATTGAAAATGTGGGTATTTTCTTTCCCTTGTTTTCCATTATTGTAAAAAGAAGGATTATCTTTCAAATTTTAACTCAATTTTGTTTGGATTTTCAACGATTCTTGAATGTTTGAGCTATTAGATCGGGAATGCCATTTTCATTTCTTTTCTGTTAAGTTTAAAAATTTATTTTCTCCTTTGAGAAGTTTCTTGAGCATGTATAGAAGAGATGTGAAATGATTCATCACCTGTATCTTTCATGGTCAAGGTTATTTTTGTTGGTTTCTTTAACTGTAAAGACAAAGTTGGTAGATATTACATATATGATTAAAAAAAAAATTTTAAAAAAAGCAATGACCTCTTCTTTACTGGTAGACTCAAGTGAGATTAGTAAGTTTGTTGAAATTTCTATCTTAGAGAATGAAGTTGGTTTTAATTCTTTCTTTGAGTTCTATTTGGTATAAGTATGAATTTGAAAGGCAAAAGGTTTACGTGCATTGAGAATTGCATCCAAAATGTTTTTTAGAAAGTAAGGTGAAAATGAAAGTTATGGATTGTGAGAGTAAAATGTATGTTGTAGTAAAGAGTGGATCATAAATGGTAAAGTGTGTGTTGAAAAGTAAAGCTTAAGATGTGTGAGAAATGGGAAGTGGTGATTGTATGCTTTAAAAATAAAAGTATGTGCTAGAAAAGTATTGTATGAGATATGTAAAAGTAAAGTGTTTGATTTTGTAGTAAGTGTATATTTTCGAAATTGGAACTTATGTGTATTTCGCG